AGGATGAGAGAGAGAGAGAGAGAGAGAGAAGGGTAAAAGTCTCTATATCAAAGACAACAAAAACACTTACCAAGATGATTGGCTTAATATTATCTTTTGTTAGTTCTACTTCAGCATCACCTTCCTCTTGAAGCCGGAGGAGGACATACACTAAGTACCATATTCTCCCTCATGCATCCTGCCACTTTTTACATGCTCCTCTATCACCTTATCAAGGAAACAATAAAGTTGCCTAAGGACCTTCTTCATACTTGGCCTAGTGCTTGATAGAAGGCTAAGAAACCCCATAGAAGGGTAAAAGTCCTCTATATCAAAGACATCACTTATCTCAAGTGTCACCCTAATAATGTCCCTGAACTCATCGCCAACATACTTCTAGCCCAAGGCCACTCTCTCCACCATGCTACGAACAAGTAAGAAAATTCTCTCTGTGAGATTGATATGAGTATAGGAAGCCTCAGCAATGGACTCCTCTAGATGAGTGGTCTCCTCCTCTCTAACAAAGCGAAACGATTGCACTCGTTTTGCACTAAGCAACTCCATGATGCAAATCTTGCGAATTGAACGCCAGTACGCGCTGTACAGGGCCATTGCTATGTCTTTGCATTTACAGGCAAGGCGATTAGCTGCTGAGAGGGCTGGCCTACTAGCAAAGACCAGGTCATGTGCCTTCAAGACTTGTTGGGCTAGCTCAGGTGAACTAACTATTATGTTCTCTATCTGCCCTATCTTTAGGTACATCAGGGGTCCATATTCTTCTGCAAGGGTTGCTAAGGTGCTGTGTGGGAGCCTCCCTAACTGGTGCATGGTGCCTAGTAAGGGTAGCTTTGGAGGTCCTGGAGGCAGGTTTTTTGTGTGTCTATCTCTAGTTTTCACGATCTTTAATACCAGGACCAAACCAAAGCAAATAGAAAGATCGTCAAGGCTCCTGCTTTATGTACTTAGACATATGAACAACTTTTTCTTTGCAAAAGTGATTTGAGCTTCCAATCTAAGAGACAGTTCCATGAGCAACAACTGTGTCAAGAGACGATCTCTGTACTATTTCCTTAAATCTTTTTCTTATTGGATAGATTTACTTCATTTGTAGGAGGGACAAACTTAGAGTCCTCCTCACCATACAAACTTCACACGTTTATGTTGTGGCAAATTACACATCGCAGAAACCAGGTGTTACATTATTGTCCCAAATCCCACTAGGCTAGAGGTCGATAACACCCATTGACAGCCCTACACCACGCTAAAGAGCTTGTGAATAGAGTCTTTGAAGACAAATCATGCACATCTACTACTTGTGAAGCGAGAAATAGGGATAAGAATTAGGTCATTTTTTATGGGCACTTTTATTCCTCCACTGGCCTCGGTCTCCTATGGCTTCATTCCATGGGCGAGTTTCCAGTCGAAACAATAGAGTAGTTGGGCCAATGCAAGTTGTGCAGTAGCCATTGCAAACAGTGCTCCAGGGCACCCCCTCCGGCCTCCCCTGAAGGGGATGTAATCGAAACGTTGCCCTTTATAGTCCAGCAAACTGTCGGAGAACCTCTCAGGCTCAAACTTCTCTGCATTTTTGTAGACGTCATGACGCCTTCCTATGGCCCAAGCATTCATCAAGACTCTCGTCTTAACAGGTATTTCATACCCTTCTAATGGGCATTTCTCCATGGATTCTCTTGGGACCAACAATGGAGCTGGAGGATGTAACCGGAGGGTTTCCTTGAGGTCCAGGTCACTTTCTTCTACCTTGGCTTTTCCTTTAAGGGGATGCCTCATTTCGCTTTGCGCTTTCTCCATAACTTTTGGGTTCTTCATGAGCTCGGCCATTGCCCATGTCAAGGTAGTAAATGTGGTCTCAATGCCACCAACAAATATGTCCTGTGTAAATAAATTTATCATAGTTAGCATTAATGCTAAGAAACTTATCAGTCTGGCTTGAGAATCACTAGAGTCGGATCGAAAACCAAGTGATTATCGGCCAGAAAACCCCAAAGTCACCCAAGCCTCCGAATTTTCTCTTAAGGGGAAGCTGGGCTTGGGTTAGTCGTGAAGCAGAGCACGAGTAAAACTTTCCGAAAATTGGTTCACATTTCTTGGAAACATAAGTTGGGTCACTATCATTTTCGAAGGATATATGATTCTCTTCTTGATTCTTGGATCATAATTCGATCTCAAATGGAACTTACTTTATTAGGGAGAGATTTTGGAACCAAATTCTTACCGTTCAGCTTGATCTATGATTTTGCCAATAAAAAAAACTCCGTCGTGGCTGGCCATATTTATATATATATATATATGTATATATATAAATAAATAAATAAATAAAAGTTCAAGTTAGAAGGGTTGTGACGGGTGTATTTATCAAAAGAATTATTACTTTTTTATTAAAAAAATATTTAAATAGGTAACTTTACTATTAAACAAGGACAAATTTGAAATTTTCACAACAGTATAATGGCATTTTGGAATTTAGTGTCTTGGAACTTTATTTGTAGAGTGCCATTGTCGTTTAGTTAAAATTTCAATTTCACCTCTTATAGAGATGACAAAAATATTTTTTGTCTTTTAGTAATATTTACAAATTTGCCTCTCAAAAGTAACTTCTTTTAAAAAAATAGACAATAAAATTAATAAATCCACCCTTTCACAACTCTCTCTATCTTGAACTTTTGTAATTTGAAGGGTCGTGAAGATTAGAATATCATATATATATATAAAGTCTTCTCAACGCCTATAGGCGAAATAAATAGTGATTTCATCTACTTTCATCACCGTCCAAATTTTATCGCACGGTCACAATTGTCAGGTAGTTTTATTTTTTATTTTTTTTACTAATCAGAATGACCTGAAATTTGGAGGGTATGTATATCTTACTGAGGCACATCCAATAAAAATATAAAAAAATTATATGTGAATTTTTTTTTACCAAATTACCCCCTGGTATTTTGGTCAAAAGTTTTTATATAAAATATTTTTTTTCTATTTTTCGAAGATTTTTTTGTTTTTTATGAATACATGTTCCAAATTTCAAGTCATTCCAGTCGTGGGAGGTCAAGGCACGACGAGGGGATAGG